GGGTAAATACCTTATGTTCTGCATAGATATGCCATAGTGCCTTATTCTACTAAAATTTAAGGTATTTACTGAAACACATTGCAACTCTTGAGATTAGCCAAAGTGACAAAACTTTCTAGCCAAAGTGACAAAAATTTCTTTTTTCACTTTTTTTTTTTTTGTTACTTCTTTTTTTTTTTTTTTTTTTTTTTTTTTTTTTTTTTTTTTTTTTTTTTTTTTTTTTTTTTTTTTTTTTTTTTTTTTTTTTCAAGGCTGCATCTTTCACTATGGTGGTTGTGTGGTTTCATTTTGCTCATTCAAAGTTTCTTCCAGTTGAAGTTTTGAGGATAACTTTTAATTCTTTGCCCAAGGAAGTATCACAGGGAGCATCCCTCCTCAGAGGGATTCAAGCCATGGCACCCACAGGGGAGGCCCACCTTGCTGAGCCCCATTCCTGCTGTCCCACAGCTGTGACAGCCACCCCAGAACAGGGGAGAGCACAGCACAGAGCTCCTCCAGAGCTCTGGAGGATGCTCCACCAGGGACAGCCAGGGGACGCTGGGCCTGGGGCAGCAGTGCTGTCACCAGAACTCACACCTTGACTCTGTGAGAACTTCAATAATTTTTCAACATCACCAGCCAAATTTCTGCAGATTTTCTGGAGATAGGAGAAGGCAACACTCCCAAGTCCCTGCTCCTCAAGCTGGCAACATGACAGCTTTCCACTGGAAATACAACTTTTTTTTTTCTTAATGCAGGCCAAAGTGATTTTCTCTCATTAGAGCTGCTGATACAGTTGGAAGAAGTGAGCTCTCTCTCCAAAACTTCATCAGCCAGTGAAAGGCAGCATCCCCCAGGAAGATCTTGGGGTGTTTGGCTGTTCCAGCTTCTCATTCCTCTGGCTGTGGCTCTTTGCACTGGAACTTGGAAAGAAAAATATCCTGGGATGGAAAATTTCAATTCTAAAGGGTAAAGTTGGACAAAATCCAGGTGAGACTTGGCAGAGAGACCCGGCAAAGGTTGTTTCTTGTGCTGACATTTTTGCTCTGTGCTTTGGAGAGCCTCCCTGCAGCTCTGCTCCAGCCAGGTCAGGCTCTGCTCATGTAAGTGATCATGTTAACACCACCACATGTGACTTTCTCTGGGTTTTCTTTTTCTTTTTCTTTTTTTTTTTTTTAATTTTTAATTTTTTTTTTTTGTCTCTGAAACTGTGAATATTTTGGAATGAGATGCTGCAGTGATCTTACATCCTATGGGGATGGCTGTCCTGTCAGTCCACCCCACTCCCAGAGGTGGCCCAGAGGCTTTGATCCTCTGTCTGCTTGTCCACAGCAGACACTGCACATCTGTGGTAGCACCAGAACACCCACAGCCCAGATAAATCATCTGATGGAAATGAGGAGCTGGGATCTTGTGGAAACTCTGGCTACTGGAAACCAAAAGGAGAACTCAGTATCTGTGCTGGCTCTGGGGTGCATGTGAACTTTAGAACAAGGGACATGCTGGAGACTGCTGTGACTCCTTCTCCCTTCTGTGAATTCTTCCACTCAGGTCTTGCCAGAGTGTGCCAACCCATCCCTGCAAGGTTGGAGGAGCTCTGCAGAAGGACCTTCATGGGCTGTTCTGAGTCCTGAGCTCCTCTGCAGCAGGAAGGACCCCATGGCACTCCTTGGGAATGCCATGAGTCACTGAGAAAGTCCCCAGGTGCTGAGGCCAAAGGCCTCAAAATTCACCTGTGGAGAAAGAGGAAGGTTAGATCTGCTTCATTCCAAGGGTTTAAACCATTTTTATGTTACTAAAAAGATGTCTTTATGCTCTAGGTGGTTTTGTTTTTAAAAATAAGATAAAGACAGCAAATCCAAGGTAAAAAAATCAATTTGAAGATGAGAGACGAATCTATTTTGCCATAAATTTGGAGAAATAACCACCAAATTTGATGTGGGGTTGCTGTCCTCTCCTTCCCTCCAGGGAGCACTGTGGCATCTCCTTTCCTCTGGATTTCGGAGAGAATGAATTTGTGTTTCTTACCCAGAAACAGAAATAAAGCTCCAACAACCTGTCTGTGGAGGTCTGTTGTTCCCTGCTTTTCTGACTGTGTTCCTTCATCAAGAGGATGATGAGAGGCCAGAGACACACCAGGGCCTGTGCAAGGTCAGGAAGGGGCTGCTCATCCCCAGGGAGGCGGCTGTGCTTTTGCCCCAGGGCAGAGGTGCTCAAAGCAACATGAAGCAGAAGTGATCCTCAGTAGATGCTCCTGCCCTCCTTGGGTCGCATCACCCACCAGAGACAGCAGACAGCGCGGGCAGGATTTTGGGTGGAGCATGTGGTGGTGTCAGCGTCCCTGGCTGTTCTGTGCTGAGGGGACAGCGGGGAGGGTGGGCTGGGGCTGGCTCTGGGTGGAATGTTTTGGTGGAGCTGTTGGAGAGAGTCCAGAGGAGGCCATGGAGATGCTGCAAGGGCTGGAGCCCCTCTGGAGCCAGGCTGGGAGAGCTGGGGGTGCTCACCTGGAGAGGAGAAGGCTCCAGGGAGAGCTCAGAGCCCTTCCAGGGCCTAAAGGGGATCCAGGAGAGCTGGAGAGGGACTGGGGACAAGGGATGGAGGGACAGGACACAGGGAATGGCTCCCACTGCCAGAGGGCAGGGATGGATGGGACATTGGGAATTGGGAATTGTTCCCTGGGAGGGTGGCAGGCCCTGGCACAGGGTGCCCAGAGCAGCTGTGGCTGCCCCTGGATCCCTGGCAGTGTCCCAGGCCAGGCTGGGTGGGGTTTGGAGCACCCTGGGGTGCTGCCCCGGGGGTGCCGCCGCCCCGGGCGGCTCCCGAGGGCCGTGACGCTCTCGGCCGCCGGGCGGCGCTGCAGCTCCGCTGCCGGAGCCGCGGGCCCGGCCCGGGGACCCGCGGGGACCCCGCGCCCGTCCTGCTGCCCCTGCCCCTTCCCTCGCTGCCTTCGTCCCCAGCCCAGCGTCTGACCGCTCCGGAAGCGGCCGCTCCAGTGAAGTTTTCCTGCCTCAGCCCCGCAGCCCCGCAGGCTTCTGCCCCACTCTTCCCCCACCCCTCCCTCAGCACAGCTCTGGGGCTCTCCAGTTCTCATGAAAATTCCAGTTATCCAGCTCTTCTCTAACAAACTCCAGTCATCCACCTGTTCTCTAACAAACTCCAGTTATCCAGCTGTTCTCTAGCCGAGGTGTCCTGGCACCTCTCCTCCAGCCTGAGTCGGGGCTCTTCAGGCGGCAGGGTGAACAGTGGACAGGGGTGCCCTGCTGTTCCATAGTGTGGCTGGAATTTGCGAGGTGCCAGGGACCGAACAAGGTCCCCAAGGAGCCCCAGGGTGGGTGGCACTGAGGCTGCCTTTGGGTGGCTGCACCAGTTCCCTCGTTGTCTGCCTGCACCAGGGCTCCGGCAGGGTGCTGGGAGGGCCAGGTGGGCTGGGGACATCTGGGTTGTCCCCTGTTCATATGCTAAAGGACATGGCAGCTCTCTGAATGAGCCCTCCCGCTCTGTGTGCTGTCATCCAGCAGTACCAGTGCCCATGGGGGACGGTGGGGGAGCAGGGTGAGCACGCAGGGCTGTGCAGAGTGTGTGTGTGTGTCCCTGCAGGTGCATGCCAGGAGGATTTGGGCAGACAAGGGTGTTTATTGGGGTACACACGTGTCCAGTGGGTGGGAGGAGGAAGGGTGTGTGTGTGGAGCAGTGCCCAGCAAGACCAAGGTGGGTCCACCAGCTCTGTCCCTGCTCTGCCCCAGGAGTGCCTGGGCTCCCCAGAAAGGCTCCTTTCCAGGTTGTCCCCCAGACACCTCATCCTGGCTCAGAAGGCAATGGAGTTTTATTGCTGCTCCTGAGAGCTGCTGTGGAGAGATCCTGGGAAGAGCTCCCAGCCCATCCATCACACACTGACTTGGCATTTAAGAAGAACCTGAAGCAACAAATACTGTCTGGGACATGTGTGGTTGTTGGTGTCAAGGAGGGGCTCAGAAAAATTCCCACAACCCCTGCAATGTGCCTGATTCCTTCTGGCACCCAGAGGACACTCCTTGGGCTGGCCCAAGGGCTGTCCTTTCCTGGGAAGCGGACTCTTGAGTCCCCTTGGCCACACTGCAATGTGCCCATCTGCCAGCCTGGACACACAGCTGGACAGGGGTGGGTGCAATCATGTTTGAGTGTACCTCCAGGGGAGGCACAGCTCCCACAGCCTGGCTCTCTGGTGCCAGGGATCACTGGGTTAGCAGTTTGGTTTTACAGACAGGCGTGGTGGCATCTGGAGTGCTGCACCCTGCTGTGCTGCCCAGTACAAGACAGATGCCACTTACTGGACTGAGCCCAGGAAAGAGCTGTGAGGATGGTCAAACCACTCATGAGAGGAGCAGTGCTCTCCACCCTTGAAGGTATTCAAAAGCCTGTGGGCTGTAGCTGAGAGAATCCAGCTTTAGGTGACCCTGCCTGAGCAGGGATGGCACTGGACCATCTCCAGAATTTGCCCAGCCTCAGAGAGCTGTGAGTCAGTTGTGAGAGTGTCAAACCCTGGAACAATGGGGCAAATGTCCAAGAGAACAAAGAGAAATAAGAATCTGGTTTTGTTTTCTTTTGGAAGCATCTCTAGTTGCAAAGGATAGACAGCAATGAAGGGAAAAGCTGGGTGATGATAGAAGATGAAAGAGAACTAAAGTCCCAGACCTCCTTTAGCTGTCCAGCATCCCCAGAGGACACCAAAGGGAAATGTGGCATGTTCCCAAATAAAGCAGCAATTCAGGTCCAGTCTCATATTTCTCCACCCATAAGCAGATGCTGGCAACAGAAAAATATGATAAACAATATACAGTTTGTCCAAAATTTGGGATTTTTTCTCCATGAAGGGTGCTGGGATTCTGATGAAACTTGGTTTTATTGTGACATTTTGCTCTGTGAGAAAGCTCTTTTTGGCTGTGCCAAATACTGTGTGTTGCTCAGCAGAGCACAGACGGCCTGACAACAATTTGGCTGCTAAAACTTCTAAAAATAAAAGCCATCCTTTTTTCTTTCTTTTTTTCCTCTCTGAAGAAATATTGCAGCATCACACCTCTTCCCAGTACAAACTGTCAAATGTCTTCAGGCTGAGGGGCTATCCATGACACTGAACTCCAGGATTGTGTCATTCTGGTTTTCTGCAGTATTTTGCTCTCAAAATGGGGTATTTTCTCTGGTCCTGGCAGAAAAAAAGGAGGAAAGAAAAGGTCGTAGGGTGAGTTCAAACACTTTTTCTTGTTAGGGGCTGTCCAGACAGGAGCATTTAGGGGTCTCTTCTGGAATTGTCTGCTCTGATGAAGAGGTGGAGCTGGAGCTCACCCCTCTGCTCTCTGGGATGGGGGTGGTTTCTGGTGGTCTGTGCTGAACTGGTTTGAACTGGGAGCTCCATCCTGCAGCATGACCCCTCACTGGAGGAGGGCAGCTGCCTGAGGCCCCCCTTGTGCTGCCCAGGGCTGAGTGAGAACTGACACTGCTGCTGGTCACTCCTTAACAGCCAGGAGCCTTCAGAGTGGGGCTGCAGTGCATGAACCAGAGTTAAATAACAATAATAGATCATTTTCATCCGAATATATATCTGTATCTATCTAGACATATATATATCTATATCTAATCTATCTACATCTATCTATATCTATATCATCTATATAATCTAATATCTATATCTATATCTATATCTATATCTATATCTATATCTATATCTATATCTATATCATCATCTATATCTATATGTATATCATCATCTATATCAATCTATATGTCTATATATCTACATCTATGTCTATACCTATATAATCTATATCTATATTTAACAGGGCTTTACTCAAAGCTATGCACCTCTCATCACCTGAAATGTCCAGTTAAGAGGAATTGCTTTCACTTGCAGGTGTTTTGAAGAAGCCTCTACCCTCCTTCCCAAGGGAAATGTGGCACCCTGAATGTCAGTCAGGGGTTGGAGGTCCCTGGTGACTTGGGCTTCCACAGAGGTGCCAGCCCTGTGTTTGGACATGGGCATGCCCACCAGTCATACTGTAGGAAAATAAAAGGCATCCAGACCACGAGAACAGCCCTGCCACCCCCCTTGCCCCTGCTCTCAGCCCCCAGCTTTGCTTGGAGCACCTATTGCTCTCAGTTTTACCCATCTCCCATCTTTTCACTCAGATTGTACTTCCCTGCCTGTTCCTGGGAATGCACCAGAGGCTTTGCATAATGAATCATATCCATTGTTTCTTCCTCCATTAGATCAAATACCCTGGCAAGGAGGGAAATTAGATCACCCTGACATAATTATTTTCCTGGTAGAGTTGTGTTGGCTGGTTTTTGTCCTTTATTTTTATCACATATTGGTACTTACAAATGGATTGTTCAATAATTTGTTCCCAAATTTTTCAAGGAACTGAAGCCAGCTTGGCTGATCTGCAACTCCCCAAACTCTTAATTTCCTTTATTTATGTATTTATATTTTTCACAGAAAAAGTGCTTTTTCTGCACTTCCCCAGGATTCCCTAAGCCTTCAAAATTTGTCACAATCTGCTGATAATTGTTCAGAGGTTGCTTACATTTTCCAGTGTGATTTCTCTTGTCTCCTGACCAGTCAGTGCACTGAGCATCTCTCGTTACTGATGGTGGCTCTGGGCACTGGTTACAGGCTTGCACCGTGCAGCCACAGTGAGGAAGTCGCTGTTTGTGTCTCTGTGTCATCTCTTTGGTTCTTTCCCTCACAAGACATGACTGCTGACTCATTTTTCTTTTCATTGCACTTCCAGTATATTTCTGGAACTTATTTCCTTGCCTTTTATGCCCCTCACTGGCTGTAAGTCTCTCTGCTCCTTACCCTTTCTCCTTCTGCCCCCATGGGCTTGAGCTTTCCCTTGATATTCATCCTTATACCCTCATTCCCATTTTTATAGGATTCCTTTTTGATTTTCAGGATACTAAAGTGCTCTTCATGCAGCAATATTGGCCTTTTACTGTTGTCCTGTGGTTCCTCTGCAGCAGGAAGTTTAGCTGCTGTGCACCTCATATACTCTCTTTTAGTAACTTCCCCCAGTCCAGTATTTTGGATTTTTTCCTTGAGATGCCCTCCTGAAGGATGCTGCTGGTCGAAAAGCATCCCCTGTTCTGTTCATGTTTTGCAGCCACCTGTCTTTTTTTGGATTCTCTCTTTTAATTTCAAAACTGATGAACCACTGTTGGTCCTAGCTCTGCCCTACGGGACCCAACGGATGCTTCCATACTGGTCAGAAGTTGGAAGAGCTGCTCCCACTCTCCCACCCCAGAACAGCACTTTGGAATAAAAATAAGTATCCAGAGAACTTTTCAAATGATCTTTGAGTGGGCTGTGTCCTCCTGCATTTGTTTGTGTGATGGAATGTCAAAATGGGGTGGTGTAGACATAATTATTGCTGTTTATTCAGCCAAATACTCACTGAATGGAGCCTTAACTTGAGAATAATTGCAGATAAAATGAAGCTATATTTTTGATGAATAAATTGTTCTTCTTTCAAATGTGCTCAATTTGAGGTTTAGTGCTATGATAAATCTTCACTAACTTCTCTTCCTGAGAGAAGCAGCAGCAGGGAGGGAGTGTACCCAGCCAAATGTGGGACAGATGATCCAAGCAGTGATCCTGCAGGGAAGTGAAGCCTTCTCCCTCTGGAGGAAGTGATGGGGACCAGGTCTGAGCCTGAACATGCAATAGGAAGGGAGAGTGGGAGGGCAGGAGGGATGGGATAAAGAGTGGTTTATCAGCACAGGAAATTACCCAAAATGCCACACTTGTTCTCTAGCCTGAGTCAGTCTGTCCACTCATCTCTTCATCCGTCCCATGCATGCATGCATGCATCCATCATCCATCCATCCATCCATCCATCCATCCATCCATCCATCCATCCATCCCTCCATCCATCCATCCATCCATCCATCCATCCATTATCCACCCATCATCCATCCATGAACAGGGTTTGCATGCCAGGTTTTGGTAGCAGGGTGGCTCCAGGGGTGGTTGCTGTAAGAAGCTGCTGGAAGCCTCCTCCATGTCCAGCAGAGCCAATTCCAGCAGGCTCCAGGATGGACCCACCCCTGGCCAAGGCCAGGCTCAGTGGTCACAGTAGTAGCAGGACCCACATACCTGTGGGTGACCCAGAGGGAGCAGCCTGATCCTGAAGGACTGACCCAGTGGAGGAACCCATGCCTGAGCAGGGGGGGAGTGAGGAGCTCTCCCCCTGGGGAGGAAGCAGTGGCGATGTGTGATGGGGGCCACAACCCTGTCCCCTGCACTGCTGGGAGGAAACAGGTGTAGAAATCAGGAGTGGAATTGAGGCCAGGAAGAGAGGAGGGGTGGGTCGAAGGTTTAAGATTTAATTTTATCACTTATTGCTCTGCTTTGATTTGATTGGCAATGAATCAAATTTTCCCTAATCACGTCTGTTTTGCCTGTGATGGTAATGGGTGGGTGAGCTCTCCTTGCCCTTATCTTAATCCAGAAACCTTTTGTTGTATTTCCTGTCCTCTGTCCAGCCAAGGAGGGTAGTGATGGAGAGGTTTTGGTGGGCACCTGGTGTGCAAATAGAGCCAACCCACCACAATCTTCTGCCTGTAACAGTGGGAAGTGGGAAAAGGGACTGTGCATCCTGCAAAACCCCCGGAGCCAAGGAGACACAGTCCATCTGCAGGGCCTGTGGGAGCCTGGAGAGGCTGCAGCTGCAGCCCCATGCAGCAGCCAGGGGAAGGACAGCAGGAGGCTGGGATCTGTACAAGGACTCAGCCATGGGCTGGGAGCTGGAAGGGAGCCGGAGACTGTGGGCAGTCAGAAGAGCCAGCAGACAATTTCCTGTCCCAAAAACTGAAACCATGTTCTGTGTTATTTTGTGCAATTTTTTCTGCAAGTTTGTGGCCTCTGCTATAGATACTTAATGAATACCTCAGGAAACACAATTGCAATAGCCCACTGGCTACAAAGTCATCACCAGGCCTGCCACGTCCTGGGGGCAGTGGGGACTGCTCTGATGGGAAGGTTCTTCAGCCTTTTTCTCTCCACATCCTTACTGATTTTACCCATCCTCTGTGACCACTGGGAAGCAATGGCCAGGCCCCGTGAGGACTGTGCCAGCCCAGAGAGATGCTGGAGGGGACTCTGCCCTGCTGGCAGAGGTGGCAATGCACACAATTGTGAGCTGTCACGTCCTGCCCCTCACATCTCTGCCAATCTCTTCTCTCTGATTTGGGAGAAGAGTGGGCTCTGCCCTTTGTCTGGCACAGAGTGGACAATGTGGGACCCAGGGCCACAAGCATGGACCTGTCTGGGGACATCTGCTTGTGCCACCAGGGAGGGCAGGGCTGGTCCCTGACCCAGTGGGCTGCGAGGGCTGCCAGTCCTGCCCTGGGAACAGCAGTGGCTCAGAGAGCCACATGTCACATGTATGACCTCAAAAGGGAAACGCTAAGCTGCTGTGCTTTGGGAGAAGCTTAGCAGTTAAAGCTGATTCCAACAGCTTTTGCCTAAAGTTTTAAGACCTGTCACTAATCAGCAGCTGGTTTATGGCTGTTGTAAAAGATCAGAAAAAAATAAAGAAATCTCCTGAAGTTGGGGGAGCGCTTCCCAGCTCCTGCATCCATCACAGCTGTGCCGACATTTACGAGCACAGGGAGCCATAAATCCATGCGGGCCGACATCGGCCAGGACTCAGTACTGAAGGGGAAGTGTTGTGTCTGAATCTGTGTCCTGCCCTGGGAGAAACTTCATTAATGCTTTGCACGCTGAGACAGCCAAGCCCTGGGACATTCCTCCCCAGATTTTGCAGGCTCTCCTGCCTGCTCCTGCCACAGCCTGGCACTCCTGGTGTGGTTTTATGCTCCCGAGCCTCTTTTGGACAGGAGACCCAGGTGGTTTTTTTGGGAGGGGGAAGAGGAGGTGGCACATTTTGCTGTTATTTTGGTTACTCTCCTGCCTCCTCTGATTTGTGGAGCAGTTCTGGTGCCAACTGCCTCTCTCCTCAGACTTGGAAATGAATGGTCCAGGAGGGTCCTTGGTGCATAACTTCTTGATTTGCTGGACAGAACGTCTCTGCCCCAGGTTCCGGAATGCTCTGGGACATGAGGAAAATCACCTTCAATGGATGGCTGTGGTCTGAGGTGTCTCTTTTCAGACTACAAGCACTTCTGTGGATAGCAGGTGCAGGCATTGCTGCTGCTGGAACTCCCTGGGGAAGGCTCCTGGCCCTGCACTCCAGGCTTGTGGTAAAACTCAGCCAAAGGGGAGGGCGTTGTGGGCAGCAAAAGTGTCCTGGCTCCTGTCTTTGGGCACAGCTGGGACCTCCGGGGGCAGTGGGAGCTGCAGCAGGGAGTGAAGGAGCTGGAGCAATCTCATCCAGCCCCTGGTACTGGACATGTCTGTGGTCTGCTCAGCCTGGTGCAAACCTGAGCTGAATCTGTTGGCAGAAGAGACCAGAGCCAGCCACCTCCCCTGCTGCTGGCAGCTGTCCCAGAGCACTCTGTGTGTGCACAAACCTTGTGCATGGTGGTTATCACCTGGCCTGGCCAAGCCTTCTCTTCTGAGAGCAGCAGCTTGGTCCTTTCCCTGTCAGACACAGAACAGGAGCAGGAACAAGCACGTGGCAGCTGAAGTCAGGGGAAGTCAAGGGGATGCTCCATCCCCAGCCTGGTGAGCACAAGCAGAATGAGGATCCTGTGGAAGCCAGTGATGTGTGGCAAGGATACCTTGGCCACCACCAAAGCACTGTGCTTACTCAGCAGCCCTGCTTCCAGGGCAGGACCTCACTCCATTGCCTGGGAAAGTATTTCCTTTGCAAACCTAAGGAAACTGCGTGTGTGTGTGCAGGGGAGAGCCTGAACTGTCCCCAGCCACCGCCTTGCTCTGCTCACACATAAATTGACATCTTGTAGGAGAGCTGTCCAGAATACTGAGTAATTATAGCTCACCCTGAATCACAGAGCAGTGTGGGCATAGCAGCTCTCTTACAAATCACTGCAAAGGCCTTACAGATGAAAACCTTCTTTGCCCCTGTTAAAGGGCTGCATTTGTGCTGTAAACAGTAAAAATAGCAAGTGCTGTTATTAACGAGGATGTGCCGCAACTGCTGACTTGAAGGCACAGCTCGTCTCCATATGGCCATTACAGTTGAAGGACAAAACCAATATTTTATGTTTCTCACAGTTATTGTTCATCAAATGTTTATGAAAATGCATAATGACTGTGTATGATGAGCGTGCTTTCCAGTAACAGGAGTGAGATGAGGCCCTATGTGAATTTCCAATCCAAGTCATAAAAACCATTAAATTAATAGCTTAATTACATGATAAATTTAAAAACATTTTCTAGAATGCATTTTATTTTTATTTAGCCTAATAACATGTTTAGCTGCAACTCTTTCTGGGATTTGTGTAGTAAACCCACAGCAGTGGTGAAGCTTCTCTGAGTCTCAGTTTGTATTTTTATTGCTGTTCTGAAGGATGCTGAGGGTGGGGTCCAGCTGCTGTGCAGTCCCCTGGCACACACCAGGCTGGGCTGTGTGATCACAGACAGGCTCTGAGAGGACTCTGAGCTCCTGCTCCCAGAAATGCTGAAGGCATTACAGTGCTGATCTCTGTCCAGCAGGACCTGCGTGGGTTTATTCTCTCACTCACACCCTCTGAGGTGCTCCCTGCTAGCCCAGGGTCCTGCACAAACTGTGCAAGGCAGATTCAATAGTGCATCTCTCAAGCAAGCAATTGCTGTTAATTCCCTTCCTCTCCTCACTGCAGCTCTCCAGTTTTGCGCCAAGTCCCTGTGGTGCCATTCCCAGCTCTAAGTGACTGGATCCTCTGCTTGAGGACGGCATCTCCACTTTTTCAGGGGTGTTGATGAAATGGAAGATGAACAGAAGAGACCTGCAGGAAGGGCAGAGTGGCTGGAAAAGCTGCCTTGTCCTGGCAGTGAGGGGCAGGGGCCCCAGTGAGCTGCCTCAGAGCAGAAGCCCTCACTTTGGGTGAGTGGTGCCACTGAGAGACAGCAATTTGGGTGAGTACAAACAGTCACTAGGATGAGTCAGATCAGAAATAAAAATTATGCATGAACAGCTTAATTAAGGATTGATCAGATTTGGTGTCACTGATGATCTCCTCCCAGGGGGTCCCCAGGGACCCTTGGGCCTGTGCCCCACTGTGCTTTGAGGTCAGTGGAGAGGGGGGCTGAGAGATGGTGGGAGCTGAATCCTGCAGGTTTGAGGTGTATGAGGGCTGCTGGGGCTGTGATCCTTCCTCCACATCTCCTTCTTTTAGCTCTGCCCCTGTCCTCATTCCCTTGAAGCCACGTGCCCCTGTGCACCTCCAGTTCCTCCTGCACATTCCTTGTGGTGCCTGCTCACTCAAAAAAACCCAAAACAAAACAGTGCTCACACCATGGCCTGAGAAAACTCTCTGGGAATCGTCTTGTAGCAGTTTTGGGAACAGCCTGTGGTGTCCCATCACTGTCCTCTCACGGATGGGCTCCTGGCTTGGCCTGTGCACATCACT